CTCACATTCAAATCCGTCTAAAAATTCTCGTCCGCAGACTCCAAATCTGATCAATACAATACGATACAATACCCTTGAGATTTGCTTTCGAGGAACGATTTCAATCGTTTGTTTTCCTCGCCTCCCTTTGAAGATTGAATTCCTCGCCCGATCGTTGTTTTTCCTAAATCTATTTCTGATTCTGGTGTGGCTGATTCGAGAGAATGATCGACGTGGATTCTCATCGTCGGCATCATCATCATCACTCGCAATCGGAAGATGATCGCAAAAATGAAGATGGAATCCCGAACTTGGAAAAATCAACTGCTCGAGAAGGGACATCTGAGTTCAGTTTCGGTATTGTTTCGTCGTCGTCGTCTTCTTCTTCTTCGTCAAGCTATGGAGATTCTACTTCAAATTCTGTTTCTGATTCGTCGCCGAATTTCATGAAGACCACTAGGAGCTCGGAAGCGAGAAGAAACTACTCTCAGGTCTGTCTCAGATTTCGATTTCTTGTTTCTCGAGTATTTGCGATTGATAATGGTGGATTTTGTAGTGAGATATTGAATCTACTGTTTGCAACAGAAATCACTCGCAAGCCGCTCTGGTTCAAAGCCTACGAGGACTATGGCGAGAATGTCGAGTTCTAGAATCAAAAGGACATTGATAAGGAAATCTTCCGATCAAGGAGAATTGCAATCTCCGGTAAGTTCCCGCAGATCTAAATTAGGGAATCGGAATAATGGACAAAAGAATAGTGATGTTTCTGCGGTTTATTCAAAATCAAATTCGGTGATCTCGGGCATAATGTTAACTAGGAAGGCATCACTAAAACCTGTGAGGAAGTTCGCGAAATTGGCGGCTTCCAAGTTTAAGAAATATTCCAAAATGGAAATGTCTGAGTTACATCCAGAATCATGTGTTGAAAAGATGACTTGTTCTTCAGCCCTCAAGGGTTCTAAGTTTTCTGATAACATTGAGATCCAGCCTGGAGAAGAGAAAGAATCTGAAAAACTTGCTGTAAAGAAGATTTGTCCTTACAGTTACTGTTCCCTCCATGGCCATTCTCATAGAAATGCTGCTCCATTGAAGCGTTTCAAGTCCATGAGGAAACGTGCCATGAGAGCTCAGAAAAACAAGACTGAGAGCGAACCACCTTTTCGAGCCAAACAATCTGGAAAACGTAAGGAAGGTATTCAAGCAAGCAAAATGGTGAGTAGAGAAGGACTAGTAGCTAATGAGAACACTGGCAAACCGGTATCCGCTGTAGAGGAAGAACTCTGTCCTAGTGTTCTTATGGATATCGATTCGAAAGGGAAAGATAATTTTGATGCAGGTGAATGCAGCAGCTTGAAGGAAAGTGTGGGCTCTTCTGCTGTTGATTATGAGCAAATGGGATGTCAAAGTTGTCCAAGTGAAGCTGGTGAGAAGCTCAAGGGAGATTTGTCAGCGGAAATGGATAGTCTATCGCGTTCGAGCTCTAGCTCGAGTATCAGCTTAAATATTACAGCAGAAGTGCAGGAGATTAATCCAAAGTATGTCAGAATGTGGCAGTTGGTTTATAAGAATGTTGTGGACAGCAACTCTGCCAATGCTGATAATGAACTACCTGTTCTTCAGGTGAAGGAAACATCAAAGGACGTTGACAACAAATTGGTATTAGACACCAACTCCAGCTCCTTTAAGCTTGTCACCAATATTGATCAGGAAGGAGCAGATGTGAATCCTGATGCAGCTGCCAATAGAAAACTTGAGCTCTTCAAGAGGGAAGCTGTTAAGTTAGTGCAAGATGCTTTCGATAGAATCCTTCTCCCGGAGATTCGAGACCAATCCCCTCGACCTCGTGATGAGAATTCAGGAGAGAAGCTGTGGGGAAGGATTCCGGCTGAAGTTAGAGGATCAAGCTTCTTAATGCCTTCTTCCAGTACTCATTCTGCTGGAGAGGATCTTGCACAAGATCGAGACGAAATGGGAACTAAAGTCGAAAATAAAACGTCCATGGAAGAAAAGAAAACAATGCCAATTGAAAACAGGTCAACAAATAAGTCAGTAGCTAAGGGATGGAGTAACCTGAAAAAGCTAATCCTTCTCAAGAGATTTGTCAAGGCTTTGGAGAAAGTAAAGAAGATTAACCCACAGAAGCCATGTTTTCGACCCCTTAATCCCAACCCAGAAGGAGAGAAGGTTCATCTCCAGCGTCAAACGACAGAAGAACGAAAAAACAGCGAGGAATGGATGCTTGATTATGCATTACAACAGGTTATCTCAAAATTAGAACCAGCTCAGAAGAAGAGAGTTTCTCTGCTTGTAGAAGCTTTTGAAACAGTTCTTCCATTGCCTGGAGTTGAGGCTCCCATCAGGACCAAAGTAGCTCCTCCTGTAGATTCTCAACAAGATCATGGAGTTTCTGATAGAACTGATGAAGAAAATGAGCATCAAAACGGTGCTGATGATACCGTTCTTGGGAATTTTTCGAACATGAAGAACATTTTCAAAGCATCTGCAGGCCAAGCAAACAACATTACCAAGTTAGAAAACCAGAATTCAATGACGTTCTTTAATAAAGATGAAGCAAACTTAGAATATCTTGAGAAATCAGAACAAGATCAAGCTGTTCATGAAACTACTGGTAGAGGGTGGCGGCTAGTCGGGGACATTGCTACTCGCAATCGCGATAAGGTAGAAGAGGAGATCACTGTAAAAGGAGGCTATCCCGTGTCGGTTGATATACGCTTGCCAGAGGTCGAAGATGCCATTTTAGATAGTGAGACCTCCAAGAACCCAGAAGACACTAGCCATCAAGAAGTTTCAGTGAATGGAAAGCTTCTAAAGATTTCTAAAAGGGTAATTGCACGTTTAAACTCGGAACTACTTCATAACGGAGATCTGGAGCCTGACCAAACAATATCCAAAAACGATAGTTCGATCAGCTTAATCGGTGGAGTATCTGATACATCCAAAAGCCTCTCATCAGAAGAGTATGAGACATCAGCAATAGCTAGAACCCTCACTTCCGAAGAACATGAGAAATCGACCGAAGTCAATAATTTCGAACATTGCACCTCAGCAAATGAACTACTAGAAAAAACAAGGGCGGCTATATTCGATAGAAGTCGGATAGCTCAATCGAAAGCTGGTTCCACGCAAGCAGAATCTGTTTCCAGCATTGGTGAAGCAAATGAAACACAGTTCGAGCCAAAAAAGAATGCAAGCATGTGGTTCTTGATATACAAGCACATGGCTTCAAGCATTGATGCTAAAGATGGTTTGAAACCTCTTGTCAGTCAGGAGACTAACAAGGATGAAAAGGAATTTTCTTCAAGAAAACAAAACAAGGAAATGGAAGACGGCTTTGTGAACGATCCAGACGTGAAGCTCCGATGCATTGAAGCAGTAAAGCTAGTAAACGAAGCAATTGACGAAATCCCTCTTCCAGAAAACAGTACCTCACCTGACGATCGATCATTCTCCGACAACTCGAATAGAGACCAAGCATTAGAAGAGAAACGAGACGCCTCCGAAATAACAGATGGAAGAAAAGAGGTACACAATACTACTGATTCTAATAGCGAAGAACGATCGGTGAAGTCTGTCGATGCGAACAGCCAGGAGGAGGATGAAAAAGAGCAAAACTCGGGAAGAAAACACAATCAGCAAGTTCTAAAGAATTGGAGCAATCTGAAAAAAGTGATTCTTCTGAAGAGATTTATCAAAGCAATGGAAAAAGTAAAGAAATTCAATCCAAAACGACCAAACTTTTTGGCTGTGAAGCAAGATGCAGAATCAGAGAAAGTTCAGCTGAGGCATCAAGACACAGAAGATAGAAAGAATGCAGAGGAATGGATGCTTGATTACGCACTTCGACAGGCCGTGGCCAAGCTCACTCCTGCTCGTAAGCGAAAAGTCGACTTGCTCATACACGCTTTCGAGACAGTTAATCCAACAACCAGAAAGTGAGAATCCTACAAGTGATTTACTTCCTTTCAGTTCTTTATTTCATATTATTTTTTGTGTTTGGTCTGGCAGAGAAAAAGGGATACTTCCATGGTTCATATATTGTGAAATTTGTTGTGATTTTGAGAAGTTTGGAGAGTTGGATTGTGAATATGAAGAATAGCATAAGTACTTGTAGATGCATCAGATGAGCTGTATGCTTCACTGTCTTCATCCTTCTTTGCTATATATACTCATGTAGATGCACCAGATGAGCTGTATGCTTCACTCTTAAAACAAAAAAAAATTCTAAAAAATATCAAAAGAATATCTTCACTATTTTTTTTTCAAAAACTTCAAAAATAATATTATTGTTATTTCCACATTTCAAAAATATTAAAATCTTATTTAATTTATTTGATTTTTTTCATAAGGACGTTAATTTCATAAGTATTTTTTAAATTATGTTGAAAGTTTAAAATATTATTGAAATTAGTATTTTACTCAAAAATACGATGTTTATGGGTATTTTTTTTTAATTTAGCAAAAAATATATAAACGATATTCTTTATTGATGCTATGACCAAGAAGGAGGTCTTAGTGGAGGCACCATAAGAATTTATGTTCACGTAGAAATTCGTAATTCCTAATATATTAATTACTATCTACTTCCTACTAATAAATATTTTAAAACATTTACATAACAAAAAAATCAAATTTATTATTATTAATTTTTTATTGGAATATATTTTAATTGTATGGTACCAAAAAATGTTAAAAAATTCCATAATAATTATTATTGATTTGGTGTAAATTTCAGTGTTTTTATTTATATTTTTTTATTATTATTTGTTTACCGGGAGGAGGAAATTACATTTTTACCCCTAAGTTGAAAAAGACGTCAAATGCCCATGAAAACGGTCTCTCCTTTCTCCTCCTCTCTCATTCTTTTTGTCTCAATTTTGTCTTTTAACAAAAACAAAAATTGTATTAAAAAATATTTAGTATTTTTATATACAAAATGTGGATGAAAATATCAATATTTATGGGGGAAAAAAAAAAAAAAAACGGAAATTTAACCATCCAAATTTCATCCTCAGACACCAGTTTCAACGGCAAAAAAAGTACGGACATATTTATATTATATTGCTCCAGATTCGGATTCTTGCTCATGGCGGCTTCGCGCTTCTAATCTCCCCAATCTGAGTGCAGCCCTTACTCCTGTTTCTTTGCATTTCTGCGTTTCTGTATGTATAACTCTTACTTTTTTTTTTCTTTCGCTCTACCTGTTCTTTCTGTGATTTTGTTTATTCAATGTTTAGCTTCATCATCTACTTTACTCAATCGGTAGAGGTAGAGGTAGAGTGAGATGGAACTGCTGCTTTCTTATCCTTATCAGTCGATGCTTCGTCTTGTAGTGAGAAATTAAAGAATAGGTTGAAACCTAAGTTTGAATTTGTACTTTCTTCTTCTGATGTGCAAAATTATTAGGGTTTTGTTTTCCAATCTAGCTTAAGAACACACAATTCTTCCTCTTGTTCTCATTATTGTTGAATATTGATTGATTTATAATCGGCGCCTTTGGAATTTGAGAGCATTTGATCCCACTTGAAACCACTGGTCTCTAGAATAATGGGTGAGTGGTCCGAAGTTGTTCCTCACACAATCTCATTCTCAAGATATTGAATTTAGAAAGCCATCTATTCATTAGAGCGTTAGCACATGCTTGAAGTTTTCCCTCCTGCTTATCTTTCTTTAAACAAAACCCAATAATCACTTTGGTATAAAGCCTTCATTTCTTTAGTTCTTCCTTTTCTCTACTTCAAAATACCCAATAATCACTGTATTATAAATTACCAATTTCTCAATATTCTCTATGCCTTGCCTCCCTGATGCTTGCACTTGCTCTTAGGTTCCAAAATACTATTACACTTTAATGGGCCTCGTGCTTTAGAAAACCCTGGATGGAATAGAATATCTTGGAGGCTATTCAGTAAAGCACCATCTCTTTCCTTCTCAATTCTCCTCTCTCACCTCTCTCTTGTTTTGTGAGGTTTGTGTACTTAAGAAAGATTTGGTGTCTTCTTTGGCACTTCCTCAATATGATTTTTGATTATTGATTTCAGAATTTCCGAAAATCTTATTTGTTTTTCAATGATGTTATAGGTTTCTGAAAGGTATAGAGGCTGTTGCTTGGGAAAAAAAAAAATGAGAAACAATTTGCCTCAGTCATCTTCCTATGAATCTGCTCTGGAAGCACTTTCGTCCTTGATAACACAGAAAAGTCGTGGAGCAATGGTTCCAGTAATCAGGAGCAAGACGAAATTAGAAAGGATGAGAAAGTACGTTGAGGTAACACTTCTGACATCAGACTCTAATGAAGAAATCATGAAAGTAAACGTTTCAACATTGCTGATCTGATATTGTGAATATGTGATAAAAAATTTGTTGGTCAAATTATTTAGCTTGATTGCTCTTTTTAAATATTTACTATTGTCACAATAGAGAAGAGTGGAAATGATCATTTGAGTTTGCCTATCATAATACTTGAACCACTTTATAAAGATTAAATCATAATGCTTATGTTTCTTTTGCAGATTCTAGACCTAGAAGAATGTGTAAAGAAACTAAAAATTATTCACGTGGCTGGAACTAAGGGAAAGGTATTCTATTTTCTACCTTTAATATTGCTTATACATATTGCAGGTGAGGAATAAACTTAGGTTAGAAGATCATTGGAGTATAGTTTATTTCATAACCTCTTTTTGCCTCAATCAATGAAAATTTTATGTTATGGTATTTATGTCTTTATTAATGAATGAATTTTTTTTTTCATCAAAGACAAATGAAAAATCCAACAAAAGGAGCCAACTAAAAAAGAAAGAAAGAAAGAAAGGAAGGAAGAAAGATGAAAGGGAATAAGCCTCCCGTGTGTTTTACTTGTGCTCAAGGCAGCGTGAACTACCCGAACAAGATAAGGAAGGAGCGAAGTAGTGTAAATTGCAATGAAGGGCATGGAGGCGTTTTTCTAATTTTTTAAGTTTAATCCTAATTTCAATTTTTTTGTGTAAGTTCTTTAACATAATGTTACTGTAGGTCACATATGGGGAAAGAGAGTAAAAATATGTACAAAATAGCATGAGGTTAGGGAGGGAATAGTTTCAGGAAATAGGTAGGGGCTACTAGCTTGTTTTACTTCTTTGGGGATTTTGTATCCATTGTTAATTGAATAAGTTGAGTCTTGATTAGGACTTTGATGGGGGAGGTACAAAATGTTACTACCTCATAAAGGACCGTTGATGTAGCAAGAGGATTTAGAATGCATGGTCTCTGATGGTGTAGAGGGAGGGGAAAAAGGCAAACAGTTGGATATGTGATGGTTTTGGGTGTGGGGCAGTTGAGTGTAGTCGCTAATGTTTGATGTAAAGAATTATGAAGTGGATAGATTTTCGAAGCCTAACAATTCAAAATCCACAAGATGAGTCAAGAAGAGAGGAAGGGGGTGATATTGATAGTGTTGAGTATTTCTGGATAGGCTTTAGCATGGTATTGCCTAATTGGAAAATGTCTGACTGAATAATATTTAGACCACGTTTCAATTTATAAAAAAAATTATTTATGTTTTCCTGTTTTGCATCTCCCACACTAAAATGGGGAAAAAAAAAAAACTCTTACTTTCTTTGCACCTCTCGCTTAAGTTCTAGAAGGCTGTCTCACTCTTTAAAAAACACCCGGGAAAGTATTGGTTGGGGACAAAGAACTTGAGGGGCAACTCTTGTCTGTCTTTGCCTCACTTATTCCCCATCTGTTTGTCCGAGACCTTTCTTGGAAGGTTTAAATTGGTGTTCCATTTTATTTCATTAGGGATAGGTATGGGTTGGAGACTCCTTTTAGTATGAAGGAAATCAAGAGGGCGTTTTTTTAGCTTCGATGGGAATAAGGTGCCTATCATGAGCTTCACTATGGCCTTCTCTAAGGAAAAGAAAGATATTAAGGAGGAGGAGTTGGTTATGGTTTTTATTGAATGTGATCATGGTCACTATGAATGAGACTTATATAGAAGTATGCATACCTGGAGAGGGACTTTGCAATTTTTAGTCTCTTCATGATCTTCTAGCACTTGAGATGAATTTTTCGCAACCCTCTAAAGCTAGGGTTTGGATTTTGGTAATATTTCATACTATCAATGAAATATGTGTTTCCCAACAAATTCTTCTCAATGCTTTGTTTTTTTTTTTTGTTTTTTTTTTTTTTCTGTTAATTCCTCCTGTAATAAATTTTGTTGGTAACATTTCATTATGTCAATGTGAAGTATTTTTTTTTTTTTGTAAAAAATGACATGTTATCCATATTCATTTTGCATTCATACTTTTTTCTTATCAATACAATGAATGAGTTGGCTAGTTTTCATGCTACAGTTTTTTACATAAGTTTCGTCAACTAATGGAGCGAACTAAAAATGTATGAGAAAATTTGTGGGCCAATATTGTGATGGTCTAATGGCTCTCCAAAGTAAAATAAAATAACTTTTGGTCCATCATTCATATCTTGCTGGTGCAGAAAAAGGAACATCAATACCTGGTTAAAGAATAAGCAGGGCCTCAGTATTGCAGTATTCTTTAATTCTCTTTTCATTTTCACCTGATCTGTATGAATTCAGGGTTCCACATGCACCTTTTCTGAAGCAATTTTACGGGAATGTGGTCTTCGAACTGGACTTTTCACTTCCCCTCATCTCATTGATGTGCGTGAGAGATTTCGTATAAATGGGTTAGTGTTGAAATATATGTTGGTATTTAGCAAAAAACATGTCTCAACTCACCCATCCCTCTCTTTCTATTATAAAACACAAACATCATGTACATGTGACACACTGAGAAATTATGAGGAAGCTCTCCGTTTACTTATTATTTTCAAGCTCATTAACTTTGTTGAAGTTGTATTTCGTACTTTATCTAATATATATATTTTTTTTACAATCTTACTTTGAATGGAACAATCAGATTGGATATATCAGAAGATAAATTTCTGCATTACTTCTGGGCATGCTGGAGACAATTGAAGGTATTGTTGCTATTCCTTACTTCAATTCGATTCTCTTTGAAAGGCATTTGATGCAGGCTCTAGCTAAGCTTTTTTGCACGGTCATGATTTATAAGAATTTCAATGAGTATATACATCATTTGCATGTCCAGATGGTTTAGTCAACTGTAGATGTGCACGGAAAAGTATCAAACAAGAAAACTACTTCTGCCTTAACCAACTTACCCACATTGGTACAGATCCACATACAATTGGTCCAGTTCATAATCTCTTGCATCCTCTTTGATTATTGATGAAATGTTTTGATGATGTTTCCAAGACAAAAACAGAAAAAAAGCTAACTTGTTGAGTTTATTTGGAATTGACGAGTCAGTCACTTGTGAAGTTAGATGCACATATATCAATCTTCTAGCATTTAGGAGGAGTGCGTTGGAGTAATAGTTGGAAACAGAGTTTGTGAAAACTTCAATATTTGAATAGTTCAATGATTCAGTTGAATTATGTGTGAATAATAAATTGATATTTTGTCTTATACTGGCTGAGATTCTAGCTTGTGCTTCAATATTCTTACTTTCTGTTCCTTACATGGCATAGCTATCTCTGGTGTATTTTCGTTTCCTAATTTTTAGGAACATGAAACAAAATTTTCATTCATAGATGAAAAGAAAGAAAAAGATAAAGGTACAAATTACAATTCAACGATGTGTGTGCCTAATTTTTCTTTTGCCAGTATGCAAACTACAACCTTCAGTTTTGTGATTTTGGGTGTTAATTTGCAGGAAAGTGTTACAGAACATCTGCCAATGCCTGCACTATTTCAGTTTCTTACATTGTTGGCTTTTAAAATATTCATAGATGAAGAGGTAAATGACTTTAGTTTCAGTTAATATAGCTCCCATTTTAAACAGTCTAGGGGTAGTTGCAATGTTGCTTTCATTCCCTTGTTCTATTTTTGCAAGAACTTATGATTTATGCAAGAATTGAACATCTTGAATGTCATGGACTTTTAATGTCATAGCATGATATATGATCTTTCGTACAATTCACTATCTTCTGTTACTAGCTTCTCTATTCCTTTCCAATATATTATTATGAATGGTGAAAGAATAGAGACGGCAGAGAAGTAGTCCTCTGCAAGCTTAAATAGGTTTCTTCAAACCTATTAGACTTTGTCCTCCCAGAAACTAATATGGCTTAGTGTTCTCTGGCATAAACTTTCTTTGACTTGGAAGAAAGCCTCGTTTCCTGAAGGGTGTTTGACTCGTTGATTTAGTCTGTCTCAGGTGGGATTTTATTATAATTTATTTGTCGTTGCTTAGTTGGAACCAAAAAGCTTATGAAAAGGATGTTCATAAAAAGATTGTGCGTAGTTCCATTCAAACTTGAAATCATTTACATATGACACAAAGTGATAAAAATAAAGCACCAAAAGCCAAGTTCATTTCCTTTTCTTCTTTCAATGCACCATCTGGTGACCTTGCATCTTTAATGTCCATTTCTTCTTCTCCTTCTTCTATCATCATCAACACTTTGATCAATGTTTGTATATATATATATATATAAACTTCAAATAACTCTCATGCTCAAATTTTGTTTTAGCTTATGATAAGTATTTATGATACAATGCCACATGTCAAAAATTTTGAGATACATCCAAACTAACGTCTTGCCAAAAAGGATATTTAAAGTCAATTATGATGCAAAAACACTTTATTTTAGGCAGAGTGCTTTGTTAGTTTTCATTCATTGAGTTGGAGGAATCCATAGGAGGCCTGCCAAGATGAAGAAGACTGGCTACTGCTAAAAGAAAAGGGAGGTCCACCCGCCTACTTAAGAAATCCGAGACCTGTTGTAGGAGAGAGGCAACTTGATTGATAGGGAGAGGAGTTTGTATAAATTCTTTTGAGATAAGTGAGATTAAATCTTGGATTATAGACTTTGGTACACTACCTTAGTTTGGATGTCATCTACATACACTAGAAGCACTGTAGTCTTGGATTATAGACTTTAAATACCATAAGAATATTGTTATCGTTGGTTGCCGACTTAAATAGACAGCTCTCACTATGTGATGTGAAGAACACATTCCTTCACGATGATCTAGATGAGCAAAACTACATGAGTACTCCCCTAGGGTTTGAAAAAACTCGAGAAGTGTTTAGACTGAGAAAAGTCAAGGAGATCACTCTCTTTATCAAAAGCTCAGAAGCAAAGAGAGCTACAATGCTTCTAGTGTATGTAGATGACATCTTAGTCACTAGAGATAACGAAGAAGAAGAGATTGAACTTGAGGGAAATTGATGAGAGAATTCGAGATAAAAGAATTTAGAAGGCTAAAGTACTTTCTCTGTATTGAAGTCGCATACTCAGCCCAAGACATCTTTATATCACAACAAAAATATATGATTAATTTATTGATGGAAATAAGAAAAGGCAAATGTAAACTTGCGCTAGTGCCAATTGATCCACATAAGAATTTGGAAGAGTCAAAAGAAGAACTTGTGGTGAACAGAGAGATGTGCTGGAGGATGGTGGCTTATATGTTTAGCTCACACTCGACTAGACATAGCATACTCGAGTGTATATTAGCCAATTTATGCATGACAGACAAGAGTCTTTCATTATTAGGGACAAGTTTGGAATTTTTAAATTATAAAAAGAGTAAATATGTCCAAAATTGTTTCTCAACTATTCCACCATTTAATATAGCGTAGACGTGTTTGATAATTGTTAGCTAAATGTACATGAGTGTCCAACACGTGTGGTTTATTGAGCTTAATAAGTGTTTAACATGTGCCCAACAAGTATGGAACTTATATTCATTTTGTCAACTAATGATTTTCGTAGAATCTACTTGTTTTCTTCCTACTAAAGAAGCTCCCTCACAACCAGTTAACAACGTTTTAAACCTGATCAATTTGATGATTAGTGTTTCTAAACATGTTCAAGTAACTTGGATTAGAGAGTTACATCCTTCTTTTCCTTCTTGTTTGCCTTTTTCCTTTATTTTTCATTATGGAATTATTGATTTTATCTCAATAGGTTGATGTTGCAATTATTGAAGTTGGTCTTGGGGGAATGTACGATTCAACAAATGTGGTATGCTCTGCCTATTAGAATTGGTTTATTCCAAAAGTTTTTGAGATTTTTTTTTTTTGATAAGACAAAAGTTTTTGAGATTGAAAACTTTTAACTATGAAATCTTAAGATTAATAAAAATTGATTGATCAATTGGTGGTTATTGTGCAGATAGAAGAACCTATAGTCTGTGGCATCACTTCGCTTGGGATGGACCACATGGAGTTATTAGGCATATCTATCTTACTAGTCATGATTTTCTACCTTAAGCTTTTTGGTTAAAATTTTTTAATGTTAATTTTTGGGGAAAACCATTCAAGCATGAGATGGAGATGGCTTGCAGTGTGAATGCTTGAAACAAACTAATGCTCCAATTGTTATAAATCTGGTTTGAGCATCAATGCAAAACAAAAAATGAATTACCTGTGAATTTAAGTTGGTTGCTTCAACCAGATTCTGACATTGACACATGTTTCAGGAAACTCGCTAAGCCAGATTGCTTCGCACAAGGCTGGAATTCTCAAGGTACAGTGTCAATGTAAGCCTTTGCAATAACATGATTTTTTATTTTGTTCTAAATATGACCACCTAGGACAGGCTCTCATTGTATATCTCTGTTTGGGGGGGGAGGGGTTCCCTCTACCCTCGCCATTAGGCTGTTCTTGTCCTTTTTTCAGAATATACCATTTTGATGTTTCTTGTAAAAAGAAAAATAAATATGACCACCTAGGACAGCATTCTTTCTTACTTTAGAATCACAGTTTTGAAGAATGAAATGCACAAATATTGCACCAAGTGTTATGCATGGCTGTTGCTTATTTTTCTTTAGTGGATTAGTGCAATATTCTTCTTTGAGTATACAAAATTGCAGTTTTAAGAAAAAAAATATAAAGATATTTTGTGCCATGCTTGATTTTTACTCGTATTCTAAGTCAGCTTCACATCTTGTATCCATGTAAAGCCTCGAGTTCCTGCATTCACAGTACCACAGCTTCCAGAAGCAATGGATGTTATCCAGAAGAAGGCACGTGAGTTGATGGTAATTTTCTTCCTTTCAAGACAAGATTCGATGCAACTCAAGCTATCTTTGGCTTATAAGCAGCTTCATGATTCTCGAGTTTGCATGTTAATACTCGTGAATTTTGAATAAAATCATGAAATGAATTTCTTTTTCAACTAGATTTTTGAGCAAACAATTAAGGAGTGAAATACTTGTAGAGCTTTCTCTGAAAACATTCAAGAATCTTGTAGTTAAGAGTCTTAATGCATGTTATAACAGTGATAAAAGCCTCGTATCATTGTGTATTGTTATTAGTAAAGCCCAGACACATTGATCATCATTTTGTTGAATTTTCTTTGGTTTTATCAGAAGAAAGTCCTCCAGGTTAATGCTTGTCGTGTTCTCCTTCAGCACTTTACTGGATTCTACTTTGCTCTCTGGTTCTTATTGTTGTATCATGCATGAGCTCCAAGCTATTTTGTAACTATGGTTGATCTTCCATGCACACCATTAGAGATCTTCTATGTAACTCTTTGATATCCCCTTATACTTCTGTATTTCTAAATTCAACGAAATCATCTCTAATCCCAACTAACAAATAAAGCCCAAACATAGCTGAAGAGAATTTCATAGAGATAGGCTAAAATTCTACTTGCGGTAGTACAAGTTCAGCTCTCAATATTTCAAAGTATTAATAGAAATGTCTAGAATATAAAATGTGCACATTTTATGTGGGGTTATGAAACTCATGATACGGAACTTCATTGGACATTGACCTATGCTTACCGATTGCAGATCCCATTAGAGGTAGCTGAACCGCTTGACCATAAAAAGCTAGATGGATTGAAGCTTGGCATGTCTGGTGATCATCAGCTTGTTAATTCTGGTCTTGCTGTTTCCCTTTGTAAATGTTGGCTTCAGAGGACTGGAAACTGGGAAAGGATGTTCCTAAATGTTGGTCTGATCTTCATGTTTTACTTTATGCTTTACATGACGTTTTTGTTGATGGTTTCTTCTTGAATTGTTGGTCGAGGCATTTAGGAAATGGGAGAATATAGTGACTGGAGGTGTTAAGTTGCTTGGTCTGTTCTTCCCCCCTCCCTGTCGACATGCTTGTTGTATATAATGTTGTATATAATGCATGTGCTTCCCCTGCCATACGTGCATGCATCCCCATTTATCAGAATGAAATTTGGATGATATCATAAAATGTTTTATGCGACAACTATTTTATCTAGGAACTAGAGGATTTTGTGTCTACTCTTAATCAATGTTGAGTTGATCTTTTCCCTTCAAACTGCTGCAATCTTCTTTCTTCATTCTTCCTCTTCTTTTTTTTTTTTTTCTTCTCTTTATTATTTTTCTTTTAAAATTTATGCTCTAAAACATAGATATTTAAGCCATTTCACTGTATGTCTTGTGCGAAAATCAGGGTTTCAAAGCGGCCAAATTACCAGATGCATTTCTTAGAGGTCTTTCAACTGCAAATCTTTCTGGGAGAGCACAGATAGTTTATGATTGTTATGCATCATCATTTAATTCTTCAACACAGTCTGAAAACTCGAATGGAGATTTAATATTCTATTTGGATGGAGCTCATAGCCCAGAAAGCATGGGGGCTTGTGCTAACTGGTTCTCTAGTGTTGTGAAGGGAAATCATAAGTCGTTACATTGTTTTAGTGCTGAAAATGTGGACAGAGATTCGGGAAATGATGATGTAAAAGTCCTGCAGGAAGCTGAGTCCACAAAGTTTTCAAAGCAGGTAATTTCCACAATTAACATTGTACTGTGGCATTTGAGATTTCTTTTCAACGTTACTGATGAGTCCCTCCCATTCCAGTTTTTTACTTCAACTTATTTTGGTGACTTATTAAATTTTGATGATGTAAAAGACAGTTAAATTAATTTTTCCTGGTCTGTAGATTCTCCTATTCAATTGCATGGAAATGAGAGACCCTGAAATCTTATTTCCACGACTTGTGAATACATGTGCTTCCTCAGGTATTATGCTTGTACTCGTGTTTTTATTTTTTTATTCGGCTTTTATCAACCTAAATAACCCATAGATAGCAGTTATAATCACAATCCAATTTTTCTTCCCCTTACGCATAGGTGTACCTTGAGCCATGTTTTCCTCCACTTATGGTGCATAGGCCGGGGATTGAAATCTTCACAAAAGACATCCGTTGTTTTCATTAAGATATATACATAATATGAACTTTTTCACTGTAAAAAAGCGAATGCAACATGATATATTAATGATGTCATCGTCAATATTGCACATAATGCGCAGAGATAACAGAAGTTGGGGATTCTTCTTTCAGATTTTATCTAAGATGTTCAACTTGTAATGGAGAAGAGTCCATGCAAGTTGCAGTAGGCAATTTAATCCATCTGGTCATCAAATTTATGTTAAGGATCTAACTACCTTATGGCATGGTATCTTGCTGAGTGAAGAGGTCCGTGGTGATTTTGCAAAGCTGCTGATAGAATTTTAACACGCCGATCTATTTGTATGTTTAACAGTGGTTGTTCTAAATAGTTTTCGTTTTCAGCAGCACAATTTGAAATCTTAACATCGTAAAAGGTGTCCTTCTGTTCATTATAACTGGAAAAGTGGTTAACAGGGATGCTCTCATTTATCTTTACTTTCAAGTCAATTTTTGCCGGGTTTTGAGATTTTGAACCCATTTTTCTGACTTCGATCTTTCATCTTTAGGTGTTCATTTTTCGAAAGCCCTTTTTGTCCCTACCATGTCAACATATAGCAAAGTCTCTTCCAGTAATTCGGTGACTTCGTCAGATATTATAAACAAGGACTTGTCGTGGCAGTTCAACCTCCAGAAACTTTGGGAGAAGATTATGCATGGGAAGGGTATTGTTCCTTCTCTTTTTGCTTCAAGTCGCACAACAATTGATTATATTATGTTCGTTCTTTGTCTATTTTTCATATGCTGCAGTTATAACTGTCATGCATACTCCACTGAAGTGGGGAATGTTTGTTTAATTCCAATCTGGCTGCAGCTGAAATACTTTCTATTAAAAAAGAGGTGATTAACAGAAATTCTTTGAATTCTTTCATTGGAATATAATATATATTGAATCGTTACAATGATCTGTAATATGAAATAACCGATAGTAGGTGCAATTGATTGAGGGAAACTAAACTGTCAGTTCTTCAAATGAAATAAACCATTGATTAATAAGCGGTAAGGTTTAGGCTGTAGCAGGAAGTAAGTTCAAAGCTTTTTTAAAAAGCTTTGTTGAAGTAAAGCTTGGATTTAGGGATGGAAAATATGTAGAAGTTACAGGTCTCACTGTACTGATTGCATTATTACAAAAATGAGAAAATAACCGACTTCCTTGGGGAAGTTCTTTAGATTGAAAATCTAAATTTCTATCGAGAAAAGAAAAAATGAAAGAATACAAAATGATAAAAAAAAAAAAAAAAAAAAAAAAA